TTTTCTCATTTTTGTATAAGGTTATTAACCTTGAATCAAGTCTCAAGTGAATATATTTGAGAAAAACAAGGGATTAATTTTTTTTTCCCTTTTGTTTTAAATGGTTGGGGGAATGTAACATTGTCTCAAGGCAGACGTCTTGTACGCTCATATCTAGAATTAAAAATAATAATAATAATAACAATTTCTAATAAAAAAATTAAAAACAGGTACGCAATATTATAAATTTGACCCAAATCAAGAACACTGGGCTAGACCTTCAGCGAGAAAAGGTGTCCATTAGTTTTCGTTAGTTGGTTATGGCCCAAAAATAAATTCTCTTATGGTTTCCGCAACTTGAGTTGAGTTTTAAGTTTATGTAAAGAATGGGAAAAAGAGACGGCTGTCCACGTTCTCATGGCACTGCCCTTTCTTTCATTATCTACCTTTTTTTTATTTTTTAATTTAATTTATTTTTAATTATTTTTTATTAGCTAAATTTTGAAAAAATGTCAGTAGGAATGGTGAGACAATCTTTATTAATTAGTTTTGATTTGTACCAATCCAATAGAAGTGCATTTTTTAAAAAATATTGAGACTGGATGGAGGTTTTTTTTTTTTTTTTTAATTGGGGTTAGGTTGCAAATGCATCTAAGATGTTCCATAATGACTCGGATGATCATATGGCACTTCTCTACTTTTTTTATCTTTTTTGTTTTTTTTAAGTTTTTGCTTTTTTTTTCCTTTGTTTTTTTTTTTTTTTACTTTTTATTAGATAATATTTGTAATAAAAAAATCAATTAAGATATAAATGATAAAATAATTTATATTCAATGGATTTTAATTCGTATTGGTTCAATTTGTGAACTTTTTTTTTTTATTTAGGATAATTAAGTTGTATATTTTTAAATTGAGATAATAAAAAGAAGGTTATAGGTGTCATGTCTCAGTCTTGATATATATAAAAAAATATTTTTATTATTTATTTAATTTTATATTTATATATTATTAAAAATATTATTTAATATCTTAATTTAATAAATTTTTATGTCATCTCATTTGGTTTTTTTGTTATTTTCTTTATTTTTTAAAATTTTATTTATTAGATAAATTTTGTACAAAAAAAATGAGTGGATGTAAGGTTGATAAAACTTATATTCAATAGGTTTCAATTAATCACATTTCAATTGATGGGGATTTAAAAAAAAAAAAAGTTAAGTTTTGCCTTTTAAAACAATTAGGATAAATTGGGATCGGGTTTGACATACTTTATCTCGACCCTCCTTAAGATATAAAAGAATATTTTTTATTATTTTATTTAATTTATATTTATATGCATATGTTATATTAATAAAGATATTATTTAATATTTTCATTTAATAAAAACTATATATATTTATAATTAAGTTATATTTATATTAAAAAATAAATACAATTATATTTGTCTATAGGTTATCATTCGTTTAAAACTTCGCATTAAAAAATTTTCACATATTTAAAACAAAATTTAAAAATAAAAAATTATCCTGCAACAAAGTGCTGGTATAATTCTAGTTTCATTAAACTTCCAACCAAATTAATTTAGTTGACTATTAGTAAAATAAAAGATGCTAACTATTTACATATTTCAATATGCTTTTTTTATATTAATAATAGTAATATGAGAAAAGATAAACTTAAATAGAGTAAAATTAAAAAACTTTTACATATTTTTTTAACTCTTAATTTTAATATATTCAAAAGATGAAAGAAACAAATAAAAATAAAAAAATTATTTTATTTTATTTTATTTTTTAAATATGTAGAAATCAATTATTAAAAAAACATAAAATTAAAAATATTTTATACCGTATAAATTGATCCTTCAATCTAATAATATATTTGTTTTTTTTCCAAAGAATATATATATATATATGTTTTCTATTATATATACATATTTATATATATGTATGCTTACTAGTTACGTATTATTATGGCTGGTAGACGAAAGCATATGCATGCATTTCTCATCTATACAATATTCCATCTGCCACCATAATTCAAATGTACACAGAAAAAAAGTTGGTAAAGAACAATACCTACTGTACCATTACTTTCTTTATTTTTCTTATCTCGTTTTTATTACAATGGTAACCAAAAAAAAAAAAATGGTGTTGTCTAAATTTAGGGTATTCTAAGCACATAATAACAAGGGCTTCATTTTCATTTAACAGCTTTTTTAGTGAATTTTAATCTTGAGATTAGATCAAGCTTGTCACTTGTCAGTACCTTACCGATGAGGTTTTAGATTTGTAGACGTAATCTAAATATTTTATCTACAAAATAAATACACACAAAAACCCCTCAATTATACCTACGTTTATACGGAAACACATTCTAAATAATATAAATGTTTAATATCTTATTCTTAAACCCGTAATATTTTATAAATATTCACAATTACTTATTGGGCCGACATAAGCGGCGAAACAGAACAATAAGCTAAGTACAGGTAGCAATGATGTGAGTCGGGCGGCTTCTGTTGCTACTATTTCGAGTTTTGGGTTATTTTTTAGTTTGAATCTTTTAAAATTTTAGTTATTTTGAATTTAAATTGAGTTTAAATTCTTATTAATTAATTAGATTATTTTTAAATTTTATGACAGATATAATTACTTTAACATACCTTTTAAATTTGGATGAGTTTAGATTCAAAATTTTTAAATCTTAATCATTTTAGATTATATTTTTTTGGATTCAGATCTTTCATCAAATCAAGTTTAAACGGGTTTAGATTCAAGTTCATATTTATTTGTCATTGTACTTAATTTCTCAAAATTGAATCATGGATTAGACCCATAATTTATATAAGGATTTTGATCAAGTCATTATTAAATATTACTTATATTTGAATAATTAAACAAACAAATTATCCAATAAATTAAAACATAAGTAAATAAATATGATATAAATTTTAATCAAATGTATATATAATGAGATTTAAACTTAAAATTTCAAAATTTTATTATATCTGTTTCTTATTATTAAGTCAAAGTTTAAACTATAAAATAGTTATTAATTAGTAAGAGATGGATTAACTTTTTTTTAATGAATAAAAGATGGATAACTTAATCTACTCACTAGGACAAACCATTACCTTTGTTTATCTTAACAACTGTTTGCCGTCTTAAAGCGCCACGTTTTTAACTCGTGGTTGCACTACCATTTCCTTTGATAAGTTAAACAACTTGTCAACTTTTAAATTAGAAATATATACTTTTTTATAAAATAAGGTTAAAGATGCTCCTAACTCCTAAACAACAAGCACTCCCATCGTTCAACTAACACATTTTTTGTGGTCTAATTGATGTTTTGGGTTGCATTGTCAAAGTGGGCAAGTATAACTGTTCATCAACCGCCATGTGTTCTTGCCTCAATTTTACAATACTAAATTATCGCATACGTTATTGATAATTATTACGCACTTTATTATATTTCATTTAAATTATTATATAAACTCAATATCTATATTGTACCTAGTATAGAATCCTTGTCTCAACAACGTACATAAATTATTGATGAACACTTGATCCTTACAAATTTTGGGTTACAATTTTTTTTCCTTCAGATGCATGAGGATGTTGAGGTGTATAATAGAAATAACTCTTTCTCATCTCATTTATAAACTCATATAGCTTAGTTAATTCATTTTATGATAAATTTGAACTCAAAATCTTTAAAATAAAATCATAAATTTTAACCATAAAAATATGTATGGTAGAAAAAAAAATATTACTACTATTTTATATCCCAATTTCAACTCAAATTTGCATAGTTCTTTCATGATTGAGATCCAATTATTAGTCCTTTGATTGTTATTTGAATACAAAAAAAAAAAAAAAATTGGACACAAACAACACAACAATTGTAATTAAATAAAGGAAAAGAATATTGCTTCTAATTATCTTATGAGAATTATGCTACCATTGGATTAAAAAAAAAAAAGAAAATTTGGAAATATATTTATTAAGTTGGGCCTATGTAAAGAGATGATTAGGAAATGTCTATATATATATGCGTGTACTTATGTATATGGAGGTCCCCAAATTATGTCCCTCATAAAAGCAAAGATGTGATTCATGATTTGAAGTGCACATCTGGCATGGGCTCCACCAAGGGAGGACTCCACCAAGACCTTTGGTTTTGGGATAGAACTAATATAACATATCTGCCTGGCATGATAGTGTGACTCATTGACATTTTTTTTTTCTACAATAATACTTCAATGCTTTAGTTAATTTTTTCTGCAGGAAGATATTATGGGAGTTGCAATACCTAGAGCTTGTGGGACAATTCATTTTCCATCCATACAAAAAACAAGCTTAAACCAATCTTTTCATAATTACGTACTCACATCCTTATATACAGTTGCTTGGCTTTAAGATGCTTTTAATCGGTCAGTTCAACTTAATTTTTTAAGTGAAATGTTAAAATTTTTAATAATCTGATTATTCTGACTACTTAGAAAAAAATAAATAATTCAAATTTATTATATGAGATAATATTACGAATAATTTTTAAATTATAATAAAATTTTTAATATGATATTTAAATTTTAAATTATAAAAAATTATTTGTTATCATGTATTATTATTTAAAATTAATATGTTAAAAATGACTAATATATTAACTAATTTATTCATATTTTTAAAATTTAAATATTATATAAATATTTCACTATAATTCAAATATCATTATATTAACTCTTATAGACATTGACTCTTATTATATAAATTGTTTTCATTTTCATGTCATTTGTGATGACTAGTAAGGGTTGAAATGTGGGACAAAGTAGCATTATTATTTTGTGATTACATGTTAACGCATTAGTCAACACTTTTTTGTTGGTTTCTTCCCATCGATTTGACATTTTCTCTACCCTTTTCCTGTTGGATTTTTCCTGGGGAAGTTTTGTAGCAACAGTTCACTTTATATAATTGCAAAAATATTTGTATCTACATGAAAACAATGGCAGTGCTTTGGATTCTTTTTCCCTTTTAAGAGCTTTTAGTAGAGATTGAATCTTCTGGTGAAACATAGAAAGAACTGTGACATTCATATTCAAGATCCTCGAAGCCCCAGAATTCTTCTTGCTCCTCTTCTTCTTCTGGCATTTTCCACCTCTCTTTATCGATATCCCCTTCCATAAGAATTTCCAAAACCTATGCATAAACAGGAAAATAGTTTACTTCAAGGTTTCATTGGATGGAAATGCAATTTGATTTTTAGAAATGGCTAAACAGAGCAAATTTAGGATCAGCATCATTACAGAAATTTGATGATGCATCAGTTTTGTCTGTGTAAAATTTTGAAATGTCAAAAGGCTGCTTCAGTAACATTTGCTTTATGCGATTCATGACAAGAAAATGAAGCCCATGATTTAAATAAATTACACATTTCTATCGTGACTTTTTCTTGTAAACATATGCATCAGCCTAGGCTGGAGTTAACATTTCCCTCCTTTTCAATGCACTTGACACGTTTAACTTTAAATGAACAAATTTTAGCAGCACTACTTGGGAAAAAGAATCAAAATTACACTTCCATATCAATTGCTTCAGCAAGAGGAAACCCAAATTTCTAACCAAAAAATCTAACTTATAGATAAAAGGGGAATTGCACACATTTTATTTTTTAAGACAATATGGTTCAAGGATAAGTCGAAACAGGAACGGCTATTCCAATCAATTAGTAATTTATATTCCGATCCTTGTAATCACATGGGTTTGCAATATTTTTGTTTCTTTATTAGCTTAAACATTTAGGTTAGGTAGGATAGAACATCCTCTGACTAATTGGAATTGCGTAAAAGGCCGGATTCCCCAACTCCAGCATCAAAAAATGACCGAATCCAACTTTGTATGTTGCATTCCTTACTGATGTAAAATGATGTTTTAAGTCATTACAGGCAAACCAACAAAATATTAAGCAGATGACAGCTAACATAATCATATTATATTAAGATAGTTGGTGTTTTTAAATACCAGAACAGACCTACATGAATACTGTCAGCCAATTAGCTATCAACTAAAATGCAACTATTGTATCCGTGAATACATGTTGCTATATTCTAATGATCCTTGTCAAGAAGTTTTGTTTGTTGATCAAAACCAAAGGTTAATGTATCTAAAATTCGAATTTACAAGGACAAAATAGGATTGAATTAAAGCCTTATTTTACAGGAAGAAGAAATGGACCACTTAATTTTAAAAAAAATATCATTGTATCAGTCAAAAGAACTTGGTTTCAAAAAATAACTGGACTGATATGCACTGAAGCAATAGTAAGAATCCGAAATGCGTATGAACAGTTTGCAAGCACTAACTCCTTTTAAAATTTCATCATCCTACAAGAAATATATGTGTAAGACCAATTTGGGATGCATTGGAGTCAATAGCAGATACTGATTCATAAATGCGAAAGTAGTTGAATTAGTGTTGATTCACAATCATGGTCCAGTAGCATAGCGGATAAAATACCTCATTCATGGTAGGACGCCATGCTGAAGATGATCGAATGCAGAGGGAAGCCACGAATGCTAGTCTTTTTAGCGGTGAAATGTCAAAGGCCCCTTGGAGTCTTGGATCTACCAATATTTCAATCTCCTCTCGGTTCAAGAGTGGTTTTGCCTATTGAGTTCAAAAGGTCTAACAACTTATTCACATAATCATATATTTCTTTTTAAAAACAAAAGTTAATGGAAGATGATGATTTTCTAATGGAGAGGCAAAATTACCCAGCAGTGCAAGCTTTGGTGAGAGGCATCAACTGGTTTCCTCCCTGAAATAATCTCTAACAAGAAAACTCCAAATGCAAACACATCTGTCTTCTCATCCACAATTCCATGCATAAAGTACTCAGGCGCTAAATGCCTACATGACAATTAGCATGGCCATCTAAAACCGTTCCACCTTTAGAGTTTTGGTTCAAAAAGGAAAGCAAAGGGAAAATGGTTGTAGAATATATTACCCAAATGTCCCTTCAATTGGAGCAATAGAATGGTGTGTCCATTGAGAAGGAAGCCATTTTGCTAGTCCAAAATCTGATATCTACACAAATTCAAAAGAAAGAGTTTGAAAAGAATACCATCAAACTCAAAATACTACACTGCAATAACTCAAATATTTGTCTGATCAGAGAAAGTCAAAGCAGAGCAAATTTGAAATGGGTACCTGCGGTTCAAAATCTGCAGTCAATAGAATATTTGAAGACTTAATGTCACGGTGAATTATCCTTCTTTGACACCCTTTATGCAAGTAATGGAGTCCTCTAGCAGTACCAATTGCAATCTTATACCTTGTCTTCCAGTCTATTGGTGGCAGATTCACATCTGCAGCAACAAAAACTCAATGAAGAAAAGACATTCATAAACACTCCATAGACTAAATGAAACCCAGAAGTGAAACAGTTGACTTTGATGGGGAATAACGAAAAAAAAAATTAAAAATTTAACATTTTGTACCATGGAGAAGAGAAGCAACAGAGCCTCTGGAAGAGAACTGAAAGATGAGATAAAGGCCATTGTCAATGCAACAGCCTAAAAGTGGCAGTACATTTGGGTGGCAGACATGACCAATAGTTCCAATTTCTGTCAAAAAATCCTTCTCTTTCCTTTCGTCAGTTGAAGCTTTTGTTAGCCTCTTTACTGCAACCTCTTCCCCATCCTTTAACACTCCTTTGTATACCTCTGCATACCCTCCTTTCCCTACTAAAGTCTCTGTTTATCCACATAACCAAATGGAAAACGTTAACACCCCCAAAAAATAAAAAGTTGAGCGCAACAAAAAATGCTTGAACAGTTCAAAAAACCTGAGCTAAAAGCATTGGTTGCAACAAAAATTTCTTCAAAGGAGAAACATTTCCAAGAAGGTCTCTGAGTGCGCTCTGCAACTGAGACAATTTTGAAGCTATCGTTGCTGTTGTCTTCTTCGAAAACCCAATGTTGGTTTTTAACATCTTCTTCAAAACTGCGCCTTTTTAATGAGAACAACCGTTTCAAGCTATTGGTTCTGATATACTTCATTGCAACAGTGACAAACAAGACAGGGAACTCTGTTTCATGCAGGAAAGCCAGCTAGCAACCAAGAAAAATAGCCTTGAAGGAAAAAAACAACTCAAAAACAATTCAGCTATCCTCTTTACTATTGTTAAATGATTAAGAAGAGAAAGGAGTCAAAGATGGGATATTTTAGTGGTTTAAGGAGAAGGGGGGCAAGGGTAGAAGAGAGCAAAGTGTGAGGCTTAAATGCAGTGCCTGGCATTTATTCCTCATTTATGTGATTTTTACTCAAAAATAGAAGCTAAAATTGATCAAACCGATTTTAATATGTGACTGAAAAACATTAGGGAGTGGGGTTGCCCCTCTAGTGGGGTAGTTAATGAGGTTTCGTTTAATCTGTGGAGTTAGTGTGGTTCCATTTCTCTTACTTTTCTTTTCTTTTTAATTTTTTATAACAGAAGAATTGGAATGAACTTTTTAAAGGAAAGATTACGCAAATTTATACATACGCCCGCCTGCACATACAAGATTCATGGAGAGGAGGGCTAAGGGTTATTTGGGTTCAAGCCCAAGCCTACTAAATTAAATATGATATGGTTATATAATATAATTATAATAAAAAATTTTAAAATTTTAGTAAAAAATATAATGAATTTGACAAAAATAAAAAAAAAATTCATATTTGATGTTTTACACAAATTGTTATATAATAATTTTCATATTTTATACGTGTTTAACACGACAAATAAAAATATATAAATTATCAAATTTATTCGCTAACCATTTTGATATCTCTAAACCTAGTAGTAAAAGGCAAGATACCAATATTTTTGCTTTAAATTTGAGTTTAACGAGTATATTACGTACAATTATTTTTATTATTATATTACAATTATTAATCACTATAAAAAAATGTAGAAATTGAAGAGGTGTCAAGAAATAAATATGGAAAAAGAAATGAAAAAGAAAAGGTAACATCCATCATACTCACCCATTGAAGCAAATATCTTAAATAGACAACATGCATAAGTTGTGTTTTTTATTTATTTCAAAATAAAACTTGGATTGAAGCAATAGAATTGTAAAAATTAAGAATAAAGGTCAAATTGTCACCATACAATGATTTAATATTGAGTTTTTTACTATATTTTTAATTTTTGACAAGAGTAATTGAATTAAAATGTTTTTACAATGCAAATGATAGATTTTCATCAATTCCATTATTTTTTTACTCAAAAATCAATAAAGTTGAAAGTATATTAACAAAAAAAAAAGGTTTTTGGCCGGTAAAACTTCTCATTTTATTAACAAATATACAATCAGTACATCTTCTACTCACACCCATCCTGTTAATCTCAGGCTTCTACCGTTAGGGAGATGCAGGCAAAAAATCCTTGTCAAGAATTCCTAGCAAGAAGGATGGAATACATCTGGCCTAACCCCTTTCTAGTCTGGGTAGCTACCCAATCTGCCACCAGCCCTCCCTGTTGGCATTTCTCCACCTTCCATTCAGGAACCAATTTCAATTGATCAAAAATATCATTCATTGTTGGCCTTATTCTCCAATATGTCAAATGTTTTCTATTAATAGTGATAGAATGAACCTCCTTGGAGTCTGTTTCCAATATAACTTTTTCAAACTTATTCACCACAGCCATATTAACACAACCCTTATTGCAGTGGCTTCCACCATTGAAGCATTTTCAGCTTTAAATCTTCTATTTACACCATTCTCAATTCTTCCTTCAGAGTTTGTACCAATAATATCAGTTCCAGCATCCTTGTTCTTTGAATCAAAAGATCCGTCACAATTTATTTTGATCCATCCCTCTTCAGCTGCTGACCAATTTTCTGAAATTTTTTTCCTGCTTTCCACTTCTGTTCCCTGGAATTTTACTTACATCTTTTCTATCCTGTATCCATTCCACAAATGGCTACCTTAATTCGTATTATAGCTGAAGTTTCACTTATCTCCTTTCTTCCAATTACAATCTCACATCTAAAGTATAAGCAATCCAAATCATCACCTCTCCCTGTCCCTCCATTTTTAAACTATTATAAATGTCCATACACCATTTGTCAAAAATATTAACAGATTATGTTTTTAACTTTCATTCCCTCACATGCTTCAAACCAAATGCCTCGTCCATTCACATTCAACTCTACCAGAAAATTAAGCTTTACCGACGAAATTTTCAGTCGGTAATCGTCCATCCTGATCACCGTGATACAGATGACTCGAAAAGGAATAGCTCATCTGGGTGGGATCAGGAACCTATTCTCGTTATAACCATTAAGTTGGTTGACTTATGCTTGGTTTGCAGAGTCAGATGATTGCAATGTTCCTTATGACGGCGGGCTACTAATAAGAAATGGACTGCGGTGCCATCAAAGTGCTTACTAGATGGGTCAAGATCCTATTTGGTTGGATTTCTGATGATCAAGTCAGATGAGATTCTAGGGGGATTCTATTGAGTTTAAAATCCGTGGCTAATACTTTCAGCGACGGTTTTATTGATGAAAAAAATTCCGCCAATGTTAATTATGTCAAAATGTTATTTCGTTAGTAACACTTCAAATTCGTCGGTAACTATCGACAAAAAATCTGTAGGCAAAATTTGTTGATAATTACAATAGATTTATTAACAACAGATTTTTTTACTAAATTTTTCGTTGATAAATCTATCAATAATAGGTTTTTTTTTCCCATTGGTAGTAATAAACTTCTATCGGTACTAATAAAAATTCATCAATAATAATATTTTAAAATCATATTTAACTATTATTTTATAATTTTGTATCTTTTTTTTTAATTTATTTTAAAGTAAATATATGAATATTAAAATATACATAAATAAAAGAAATAAATAAACAAAACATTCCATTTCATTTCATTTATAAAAAAAATATAATAATATTTTACAAAATTATTTATAAATTTTAATTAAAAAATTATAAAGAACAAAAGCTCTATTCTATTTACAGTTTACACTACAATGTTGAAAGTGGAATGAAATTTTTACAAGACTAATACCTCCTTCATTTGATGAAAAACATGGATTCTAACTTCATCACCTCTACCCATAATAAATAATGACATGCAAATGCCTAGACAAAAAGGACAGGAAAAAAATGTGAGATGCATACAGAAATTGAACATGGAAATTTCATATATAAACAATAACTAAAAACTTTAGTGGTATGTCCAATGTCTTTAATAACAACTACACTATTATCACGTGCCTACATGTGCACATTCAATAACTTATATCCTTCAGTCTATGTGTGTAAATTACATATGGATGTGTTGTTTTTGCATGTAAAAAGTGATATCCATATTAAAAAGGTATGTAATTGCATATGTTGTTGCTACATATTGAAAGATTGAAAAATATATTATGACAAATAATTGAGAATGTTACTAGTAATAGGCAAAGGGAAGGGAAATGAAAAAAGAACCTATAGCATAAACAATGTAATCCACATTTGACTACTGATCCAGAATAGTTGGGCTTATTGTAGGAAAGATATAATCAAGTATAATTTGCATAAAGTTATATTTTAAGTTTCAAGTATTAGAATTTGCATGGTTAACAATAGATATTATAACCCATGTAACAAAAAATATGAAAAATAGTAGTAGAGATTTGAGACAGACATCAATGAAAAATAGTCTCTTATTCCATGTATTCAAATAAGCACAAATAAAAAGATGTATCATTTACCTCATGTAGTGAATTCATACCCTCGCTTAACATGTAGAATACCTTTTTATTCTTGAAGGAAGAGCTAAAACTGGTGATCTTTCATATACATAAGAGAGTAGCAATTGATAAATATGAAACTTTTTGTAACATAATGTGGTAGAAGCTCATTTATCTCATCAGGCTTTTTTAAATTTTTAACTTTTGTTCAAGACTTTTTACCCTTTCAAGTTCACACTAATAACATGATCTAAAGCACAATTGATTCCCCAATAATTGAGCAATTTGATCTTTCATTAAAATATAACAAATTCCAAAACATGGCTGTGAAACAAAAAAGTTATATTTAATTCATTCTATTTATATAAACAAAGTCAATCTTCCAATGAAAATCACATAGAATAATCAAAACAATAATTTAACTAAAGCTGTTACCTCACTATTTTGCAGTGACTGTTCAAGTTCTACAATTGAGCCTCCACCACAAAATGTCATTGTAAGTGGATTAAGTCTCAACTGACCAAGCATGTGGAATATTTCTTTATGCAAAACATTTGTGAAGAAATTACAGCATATGATTATACACTTATACATATGATTATACAACACATGATTAGCCATAGGCATATTTGTTAATCTTAAAACATTTGTGAAAAAATTATACCACATAATTATACATTTACACATATGATAGAGAATGAACAAGTTCTCGTAGAGCATCAGCTGAATATCCAATCTCATTTAAAAAAACATTATAATGGGTAGGCCTTGTGGTTCACTGAACAGAAAACACAAATTATACAATGAAACCAACATTATAATAAAAGACAAAAGGCTACCAAGGTAAGGTTTAAAATACATTGAAAGTCAATAATAGTAATTTTTTGTAATGAATTATCAAATATGTTTAGTGCAAACATCTTAATATAAAATCATCCAATAAAAAAAAAAGATTTCAAACTGTAATTGAGTGCGACCGACAGATCAACAAGAAGTTAGAGCCTTGAATTACATTTCACTAAATTATCAAATATATAATCTTAATAATATATAAATTACTTTAGATATATATTATTTCAAAAAGAAATATAAATCTTAATAATATATAAATTACTTTAAAATGAGATAATTATTAGTAATATATAAATTATAACCTTAAATCAACATAAGCAATTTTAATTTTTATAATTATTATTAAAATCTCGAAAATGTTAAATATAAAACATCTCAACACATTTAAAAGTTTATAAATATGTAACAAAACCCAATAAATCTCAACAAAACTTTCACAACTAAAAAATAAACAATTCAACAAATAAAAAAATTCACTAATAATACTAAAATAAATCCCAAAATAATTAACAATACTCAACATTAATACTTAACTAAAAATTCAACAAAAATATATAACCAATAAATTTTAATAAATATATAACCAAAACCTGAACAAATTTCAACAAATATAAAACCAACAAAAGCTCAACAAATTGGTAACCAAAACCCAAATAAATTTCAATAAATAAATAACTAATAAAAACTCAACACATTGGTAATCAAAACTTAAACAAAATTCAATAAATTTATAACAAATAATTAAACCTTAAACTCAACAAATATACTACATAAAATACATCATAAAATAAAATAATTAAAAAAACTTATTGAAGGAAGAGGACACACCAACGCTAGCTA